AAAGCTTAGTTAGTGTTTTGGTACAGTGCATTGTAATTGCCCTTTCTTGTCTTTCCCGTGTATAGCACGGGTTGTTCCACTGAAATTAATAACTATAGTTTTTCGCTAATATCACGAAAACTGGAGTTTTCCGTCAATTATGCATAAGGAAAAACTCGTTCAGAATCATGCCACTAATAACGTATTAGAAGGACATTAAAATCGTTCGAAGTTGGTTTCAAAAGTTAACAACAATTTTCGTTAATATCTCGAAAACAAAAGCTTTCCGTCAATTATGCAAGAGGAAAAAGTTGTGCAGAACCACGCCCCTAACAACATATTCGAAGGACATTAAAATCGTTCGAAGTTGATTTCAAAAGTTAATAACAATTTTTCGCTAAACTCGAAAACAAAAGCTTTCCGCGAAATTTGTGTATGAACAAAATTGTTCAGAATCATGTTCGTGATAAGATATTAAAAGCACACTAAAATCGAGAAAAGTTTATTTCAAAAGTTGCCGGTTTTTTTGCAATAACAACTCTTTGCAATTGAAAAATGAAAGATTTTTTGATGATGGTACCAATGGGGAGTGATAATGGTACCAATGGGGAATGAGAGCCTACCAGATGCAAAAGGTTTCGTTCCGATCGGCCCACCCAGTTAGGCCTAATCGGCGAACATACATAGAAAAAAAAAAAAAAAAAATATACTGATCGAATTGAGTAACCTCTTCCTTTTTCGAAGTCGGTTAAAAATATAACCACGCCAGAAGAAGATTAAACAGCAAGAACAACCTCAGTGAAGTAACCACATCAACAGCGTATCAAGACACATTACTAAAATTTTGTAAAACTATAGGAATCCTTACCCAACTATGAAAAAGTTATGTTAAACCATCCACTTCCGACCATAACCTTATCTACGTAAACTGGTCAACAGTCACTAATTACCTGGGTAGTTGATGCGACTATAAACCACTATTTAGAAAAAGAAAGTCGTGGTTGACATAGCGTTAAGACAGAATTTCACGGGTTAAAAATTGTTGTCCTCTTACTGAAAAATATTATCTCCCAATTAGGTTCGATAATCGAGGTTCTATGGTATAAAAGAAATTTTTAACAGCTTAGTATTCTTCTGGGATAGACAATAAAAGACCCGATGGATTCGATCGTGTGTAAAATTTGTTCACAAGAATGTTAGTGAAAAAAGGAACGCAAATACAGTTACGTAGTTGCAGAAAGATACGAGTAGTATGCGGCAGTTAGTGGCAGACGTCGGCCTCCGCTGAAAATAACATTCATTGATTTCGCGTTCTGAATGAACGAGCGTTCGAACGAGAATGAGACAGCATAG